ATTATTAGTCCTGTCACTGACCTACCATACCATCTCTGTCAATATGAAATTTACAAATACGTGTGGGCCTGTTTTGGGGCTCTCTATTCTATCCATTGGTCATTTTCTCTATTTTTGCACAGTAAGACTTTCTTAAACACTTCAACCTCATAAAAAGTCCTTCTGGTAGGATGAACTCTCCTTCCTTTCTTGTTCTTCAGAAGTGTCTTGGTCATTATTCATCCTTAAATCTGCCATGTAAATTTTGAACAGTTTGTCAATTCCAGCAGAAATGTTGGGATTTAGTTTGGAGATGCACTAATAAATCTATACATTCATTTGAAAAGACTTTCTAATTGTCCTTCTAATGAACACAGGGCACTCTAGTCTTCTTTAACGTCTTTTAGAACTCTCTGTACACAGATCTGGCACATTTTTGGTTAGCTTTATTACTAGATACATCAGAATTGTTTTTGCAATTATTTGTTGTTTAAAGTTTATTTATTTTGAGTGAGCACACGTGAGTGGGAGAGAGGCCGAGAGAGAGAAGCTCAAGCAAGCTCTGCAATGCTCAGTGTGGAGCCTGACACAGGGCTCGAACTCACAAACTGTGAGATCATGACCTGAGCTGAAACCAAGAATCAGATGCTTAACCAACTGAGCCATCCAGGTGCCCCTTATTTGCTGTCTTTTTAAAACTCTTATTTTCTAACTGTGGCTGTATATAAGTAAAATTCACAATTAGACATTGATCCTATATTTAGGCATTTGCTAAACTCTCCAATTATGTCGAACTGGTGGAAGACTTTTGATTTTCTATGTAGACAATCACATCACAATGACAGTCTCTTCCCAATCACTGTAACTTTATTTTTCTCGTCTTGTTGCACGAACACAGTTACAGTACAATTTTGGATAAAAGTGAAGAGAGCAATAATTTTGGTCCCAGTGTTGATTTTAAAGAAAATGCTTCTACTGTTTCCCACCTTAGGATGGTGTTTACTGTAAGATTTTTAAAGATATCCTTCATCAAGCTGAAAACATTAAATGTTTTTTTGCATCTATTGATCAGACAGGCGGTTTTTCACTTTTATTCTATAAATGTGAATTCCATTTATAAATTTTCTAATACACCATTTTTGCATTCCTGGCATAAATGCCACTCAGTGTCTTACAGTGTTTGCTTTTGCTGATATCTTCATGACAAAATGGATCTATAATTTTCCTTTCTTGTATCAACTTCCCAATCTGGTTTTACTATCAAGATTATATTGGTTTTTGATGTGCAAGACATACTAATCCTATTCCCGGAAGAATGTATCTGATTAGAATAACTCTTAACTCTTTAAAGTTTGTTAAAATCATCTATGCCTAGAGTTTTATTTGTGAGATTTTAAACTACTTCCTTTCCTTGAATAGTAATGGCACTGTTCAGGTTTCTGATTTCTTTTTCTAGATAACATTTTCTAGAATTTTGCCCTTTTGCCTAAATTTTCAAACATATTGGCATGTTGTTCACAATATTCAGCTGTTTAAAATCTGCAGTATTGATAGTGACATAACCTTTTTTATTCCTGATATGGGTTATTTGTGCATTTTTTCTCCATAATAAACTTACCAGAAATTTTTGTCCCTTTTGTTCATCTTTTCAGTCAACATATGACTTTGTTGATCCTATTTCTATTCTATTTTCTATTTCTGCTCTTATCTCTTGCTTTAGCTTTATCTTGTCCTTCTGTAACTTCAATTGAACACTAGCTCATTTAAAAAAATATATACATATATATACATATACATATAAAGATTTAAAGCTACAAAATTTTCCTTGAAGCACTTTCTCTACACTTTCTTCAATTGAAGTATATATGACATATATGTGACATATATATATATATATATATATATATATATATATATGACATACATTTTAGGTGTACAACATAGCAATTTGACAATTTCATAGTATTATTCAATACTCCCCACATGAAGTATGGCTACTATCAGTCACCAAAGTTACAATATTATTATTGTATAATTATTATTGTAGTATTACTAGAATATTATTGTATATTACTATATTCTCTATGATATACTTTTCATCCCCATGATTTATCTTAATCCCCTTCACATTTTGCTGGAAGCCCACTCCCCTCCTCTCTAGCAACCACCAGTTTATTCTCCGTGTTTGAGTCTGTTTCTGTTTATTCATTTGTTTTTATCAATTCCACATTTAAGTGAAATCATACGATATTTGTCTTTCTCGGACTTATTTCATTTAGCATTATACTCTCTAGCTCCATCCAAGTTGTTGCAAATAGCAAGATTTCATTCTTTTTATGGCTGAGTAATGTATCATTATACCATATCTTCTTTATCCATTTGTCTACTGATGGACACTTAAGATATATCTTGGCTACTGTAAATAATGCTGCAATAAACATAGGGGTGCATGTATCTTTTTGAATTGGTGTTTTCATTTATTTTGGGTAAATACCCAGCAGTGCTGGCATTACTGAACTGAATGATATTCTATTTTTCATTTTTTGAGGTACCTCTCTATATTGTTTTTCATAGTGACTCCACCAATTCACATTCCCACCAAGAGTACATGAGGTTTTCCTTTCTCCACATCCATGTCAACACTCATGATTTCTTGTCTTTTTGATACTAGCCATTCTGCCCGGTGTAAAGTGCTATCTCACTGTGGTTTTGATTTGCATTTCCCCGATGATTAGTGACATTGAACACCTTTTCATGCGTCTATCCTTATGGCTTCTTTTGGAACAATGTCTATTTTGGATGTGTGCCCATTTTTAATCAGATTAGCTTTTTAGTGCTGAGTTGTAGGAGTTCTTTATATATTTCAAGTTTGGTATTAGTCACCCTAGTATTTTTAAGTTTCTTCAATTATTTCTATTACTATTGGTTTTCTTACTAAGTTTTGAACTCAAATTTTAGCACTATATATCACCTATCTCTATCCTTAATAATGCTTTTATTTTAATGTCTGTTTTGTTGGATAATAGCATAACCACACTAGCTTTCTTTTAGTATTTTCCTTTTTTCCATGCTTTTATTTCAACCTTTCCATGTCCTTATGCTTTGTGTATAAATATATTATTTCCCTACCACTCTATTCATTTCTTTAGTTGGTCTTTTTTTTTTTTTCCTATTTAATTAGTATGTTTCTCTTCCTTCTAACAAGATAGGAACTTTACCCTCAAGATCTCTGGTTTCCTCTCACTCCCACTATATTGATGCTGTAAAGAATTTTAATTCTACATTGTTATGCATATACTTTATTTTCTTTAGCCTTACTTTTTATTCTTTTAAAGTCATCAACAAACCTCATAAGTATCTCTTTTTATCGCCCAAATCTCTTGTAGCATCCCTTGGATTTGTTTATCTTCATCCTTAGGTACTTTTTCCAAAAGTTTTTTTTTTTTTCTTTTTTTAAGTGCTTTTAACTTGCATCTTTGTGTGAAAAATTTTCTGAAGTTTTGAAAGTCTGAGAACATGTTTATTATGCCTTCACATTTGAGTATTTATCAGGACAGAAAATTCTAGTTTCAAAGATCTTTTCATGCTCAATTTCAGATTCTTGAACTGGGCAGGGTAGTGATGGTTTCTACCAGTCCATACCATTCCATACTCAAATATCCTTTTGTCTGTAGAGTCCCATCCATTTTGGTGACTGAATCTTCCATAGGTAAGGTTGACCAAGTTTTTGAAGACAGGATTGAAAACAAGGTCATCTTCAGATCGTATTTGTAAAAATACAATCAACTGCTGTAGAGGGCAATGTGGCAAAGCAGATCAAATATTTTAAAATATACATACACCTTGGCCCAACAATTTTACATCTAAGCATCTACATGAAGGAAACAACCCAACAATGTGCAAAGAAGTATGCATAAAGATACTGATCACAGCATTATGATGCAAAAAATAATTTAAAACCTAATTTGCAAACAAGTTATATGAACATCCTATAGTCAAACCATGAAGTAATTAAGAGGTGCAGAAAAAATATTTAAGTTAAAAAAGTAAGTCTAGGGGCTGCCTGGGTCGCTCAGTCAGTTGAGCATCCGACTTCGGCTCAGGTCACGATCTCACAGTTCGTAAGTTCAATCCCTGCATCAGGCTCTGTGCTGACAGCTCAGAGCCTGGAGCCTGCTTCGGATTCTGTCTCCCTCTCTATCTGCCCCTTCCCAGCTCGTGCTCTGTCTCTCTCTGTCTCTCAAAGGTGAATAAACATTAAAAAAAAAAAAAAAGTAAGTCTAGAGGGGGCACCTGGGTGGCTCAGTTAAGTGTCTGACTTCAACTCAGGTCATGATCTCATGGTCCATGAGTTCAAGCTCCGCGTCCGGCTCTGTGCTGTCAGTTCAAAGCCTGGAGCTTGCTTCAGGTTCTCTGTCTCCCACTCTCTCTGCCCCTCCCCTGATCATGCTCTGTCTCTATCAAAAAATAAATAAATGTTAAAATTTTTTTTAAAAAGGTAAGTCTAGGGGCACCTGGGTGGCTCATTCAGTTAAGCATGTGACTCCTGATTTCCGCTCAGGTCAGGAATTCACAGTTTGTGAGTTAAAGCCCTACATCAGGCTCTGTGCTGACAGCACGGAGTCTGCTTGGGATTCTCTCCCTCTCTCCCAAAATAAATACACATTTAAGAAAACATTAAAAAAAAGGAAGTCTTTTTGTTTCAGAAATATGCATATGCATGGAGAAAACATCTGAAAGCCAAAAAGCTATTCTTCAGAAATACTAACAGTAGCTTTCTCTAGATGGATATAGTGAAGTTTTTTTTTTTCTTTCTTTCTTTCTTGAAATAAAATCTTTCTTTGAGGCTCAATATACAAAACAGACAAAAACAGAGTCATTCTTGTGGGGGTAAAGAGATGATCCTGTCCACTCAGCCTTCTTCCTTGTCACAGGCTGCTGTGCAGTTTGAAAGCTACAATTCAATACATTCAGCTTACCCTACATACCATGTCAGAGCTAGAAGAGAAAGCAAAAACATATTCAATCTAACATTTATGTACTTATTTATTTAGCTTTTATTTTTGTTTTTTGGGCAACTATAAATTACAATCACTAGTACACCTGTAATTCTCTATAGTGTGTTCAACTAAAGAGTAAGCAAACACAGCATAGGTCAATTTAAAAGAAATCACAGTACTTCTTAGTGTAATCTGCAAAAGAGGGAAAAAGTCTCGGGCCCACTCCTTGGTAATAAATATCAAGTAACCATAAAAATATTCAGCCATTTTCCAGGTATTCAGGGAGGTTCATGCATGGTCCCAGGCAGAGAGCATCAGAGTTCCTCTTTGAAATATCCCAGCTTTGCCAATGACATCTCTTTTCTCAACTGCATAACTTCCCAAAACATCTGATCAACTATACAAATAGAAAAGGAGACACATAAATCATAAATTACCATCCTCATTATTTTTTAACTGTTTCACTGAGAATTTAACATTAGCTGAAATGCCAATTGGGCATTTCTGAATGACGTACCGAATGCCTCGACATTTTATTGCTATTTCAACAGAAACTTTTTCATGTTATTTGTGAGCATCCCACTTTTATCACAACTGTTTGTTAGATACATAGATGAGCATGTTAGCCCAACAGAAGGCAGACACTTTCAGGGTCCTGAATAAATGGCAATCCTAGCGCCTTCATAAGTAATTACACTCAGTCCTCAATTATTCTAACTCATGGATCTTCTTGCTCTAGTTTGCTACATCTTGGCCATTCCACTGTTTATCAACACCAACAGAGAGTAAAACAGGAAAAAAAGGAAAACAAAAGACAGTCCAGAAAACTCAGTAACATTGTTTGTAATAATAAGAAAGGTTTTGTATATGGCTCAAATTAGAAATAAAAATAAATGCAAAGGTTGATCTGTAAATTTCAATTATCTCTACTTTGGCAAGCCACTTCTGTAACTTGAAAAAAGTGGCTTTGTATTTCAGACAAAAGGTCTTCCTCTGACAGACACATCATCCGATTGGATTGATTTAGATCAGTGGTTCTAAGCTAGGGGAGATTTTGTCCTAAAGGGTACATCTGACAATGTCTGGATACATTTTTCATTACTGGCTTCTACTGAGTAAGGCTCAGCGATGGTGTTAAACATCCTACAATGCACAATATAGCCCCCACAACAAAGAACTATTCAGCTCAAAATATTCATAGTACCAAGCCTCAGAAACCCTGCTTTAGATTTAGCTGCCCTAAATCCTTTTTGGCAAAAGGCACAGACAATTAACAGATTTTAAAATTAATGATATTTATTTGCTACAAACTCACACAGTATATGATGTGTACCAAGTACCATGAAGTGGAAAAGTAACAGAACCAGAGAAGAGACCATCCTATCACCATCACCCCCACTACCACCCATGACAATTTCTTACTATTTTCATAAAGGAAATTATCTTTCATCTTCCCCAGAAAACCTTTTTTTTTATTTTAACGAGAAAAAAACATGCTTGACAATTTAACTTAACATAAATCATCTGTTCTGTGGCTTAAATCCTATGATCTACCAACAGGTATTCAAAAATATTTCAATTTTATGAAAAGTCATAAAAAGTACTGTACAGTTTAAAGACTTTGCTGCTCAGGTTGAAATTAAACATTAATGAGAGGTTTCGCCCTCATTCTTTTAGGCATTAAAATCTAATTATATGGGATTCTAAATCAGTATGTCTCTTCTCAACATACCAGAGCTTTAGAAATACTAAACTAAGTTTTTATCAGCATAACTAACTTTTCCACAGAATTAAGAGTCACTGATTTACATGACCGAAAGATAATACGTTTCTTCCAGTTTTTAAATATAAAAATATTTTCGGTGCCTAAAAAAAATATGAGTAGGAAATTCCCCTAACAACATCAAATACAAAATGGGTATGGACTCATCCCTAGCTTAGTATTTGCTATTTGTTTTAAAATAATCACATGTACTCAAGAAACACTGCTTTAGAGCAGTTGGGCCTTATTCATTTTTATGCCTGGCATTTAAGACATTTGGCTACAGAATCATCAGTAATCATGAAAGACTGTATTAAAAGTATTAAAACACTTGCATGATGTTGGCTCTCCTGAATATATCATCTACGTGTTTCTGCTGATTCAGAATACAGTAATCTTTATCCCATTCAGAACTATCTTCATGACTGCTTTATTAATTCATACATAAAAATAGGAAATATACAAAAAAATTATTGTTAGATCCTCATGGTTTCCACCAATTAAAATAAATCTGACCATGTCTAGAGCTTGAATAAAAATGAATTTATTATTGAATTGAATAATAAAAATGAATATTTTTATTCCTTAGGAGTAAATTCAATGAGCTAATTACTAGTCCCCTCACATTTACCATCTGGTTTATCATGTATCTCTTAAGAGTTATAACTGATCCTGCTTAAAACTCAAAATTGGAGTAAAATGAGGCAAATACAATGATTGAATCATTTTAAGAGACATCAGTTCCCAAATTCTCCACACATTAGAACTGTAAGAGCTTCAATATAAATGCACCAATAATAAAACTTGAGCATTACTACTATGTTCTATACTTTTTGCTGAAGTCTTATGTAAACATTTTATAACCAATTAAGAACACTCACCATCCTGCTGTTTCACGAGCCCCTGCTGAATATATCGAATGTATGTAAAGAAGTTACATACAGAGGTGATCTAGGCCAAAAGGAAAAAAAAAGTCATTAGTCAAATGTCATATCAAAGTGAGCTTTATTAAAATTCATGGTTAAGTTACTTACCCTGTATCTGCAAAAGGGTGAAATATAGTAATAGTTGCTTGAGTCCCCTAATTTAATTCTGTGTTTACAGGACTTACTCTGGCCAGTTAGAGCACATTTTCTGTAAAATAATGACAAATTTTAGTTTGTTCTTTTTTTAACTAAAAACATTTTGCTTCTACCTTCTGTACAAGTTTTACATTTGCTAAGACAACAAATATTTCAGACCTACTGTGTATCAGGCACTGTTATAGATGCTGGGCTATCATGATGAAAATGACAAAGACCCTGCCCCTTGGGGCCTACATTCTAACATAAGCTCAACAACAGAACATTCACCATGGTTTTCGAACAGATACTAAATGTTTCAAATATATGTCCTATCCTGAAGCAAATTTACAAATGAGTAACCAGCCACAGGGCAGTTCTGAGTTTCCCATCAGGACTTCAACTACTTCCTCAGTTTCAAAAAAAACCTGATGATGAGGGTTCAAGTCTCAAAACATGTTACTAAGACAGCTTGCAGGTTAAGTTTCTAGATGTGGTACTTTTCGGTGGGTCTGGTTGCAGTATATGCATTTAATGTGGCTCCAGGCCTGAGAAATACAGAGGAACAGGCCACCTTACAAAAATATTGACCCTCAATAATTACACAAAGTACACTATATTCAAACATACCATCCTTTCTGTTTGCATACCATGGACTCTTAAGGTTTGGTATGAAGGCTTTCCGGTTGGAATGAGGCTGTAAGTCTCTCAAGGATGGGGACTGTATCTTATTTATCTTTAAATGCCAGGCACCAAGCATGTGCCTGGCATACAGCAGACATTCAATGACTGCTGGCTAAGTGATGAGCCCCTGGTCACTGTACAGCTCAATACAGTGATGCTGGCTTATCTGCCAGAGCAGACCTACAGCAGCCCAGCTGGTACCCTCCGAAGCAAGGACCATGGCTGAACACAACTACCACTCCCTCTCAAGGCAAAATGAATATAGTTGTAACTAAGATAAAGTGGCCAACATTTTAAATGACATTATAAATTATATAATAAAGAAAACTACGTTACACGAACATTAAATTTCAGCTATACTTGTAAGAAATATGATACAAATGCACCTCCATATTAAGAAAACAAATGGAGAATATGTACTTAAAATAGGATAATTTTGGAGATGGCCATTCCACCCACAAAAGAATTCTCATCTTTTCAAAGAAAGTTTGCCTCATTGCTCCTTTCTTAGAAAATTCCATGGGGTACCTAGGAGGGTTAGTCAGTTAAACTGTCCGACTTCAGTCCAGGTCATGATCTCATGGTTTGTGGGTTCGAGCCCCACATTGGGCTCTGTGCTGACAGCTCGGAGCCTGGAGCTGCTTCAGATTGTGTTCTCCCTCTCTCTCTGTCCCTCCCCTGCTCACACTCTGTCCTGCCTCTCTCAAAAATAAACATTAAAAAAAATTTTTTTACTAAAAAAAAATTTCCTTTAATGATCTATAAAAATAATTTAAAAATACTAATTACTAGATTGGGAAGGATAGAAGATCAAGAAATTTCAGGCACAAGTGTCAAGAGTCCTTGGAACCGCCAAAGGGGTAATTTACACAAGAAGGAAAAGTTGCAATTGAACTGATAAAAGTCAATTGATACACTACTCTTCCAGAAACAGACATACACCTGTTTGTCAAGTACTTTGATTTTGAAAGTGCTTTGCTAAAGTGGTTTCAAGTATCAACTTTTGAAATAATGACAGTGTTTCTTATCTCATTTATAAAGCCACCTGTGAACTGTCACAGCCAATACATTTTCATTTGAGGTAGGATCCAATGCCAAGTCTTCTGACCTCCAAGTGCGTTTTGTCAGCCTGCTACAGGACCTTGGTATGTCTGAACAGCTCTAGTCCCCAGATTTCAAACCCACAGCTGCCATTTTCACTTGGGGAGGTCAACATGTCTATATGGAAACCTGACGCATCTCTAGCTCTTCTTTCCCCAGCCCCCACCTGAATCTCTTCCCTCCAAAATGCTCTTCAGATTGGTCACATCTTTCCCATCTACACACTCACCATTCTCTGATTTTTCCAGGCCTCCAATCACATGTACTTTTCTTTACTCAAATTCTACCCATGCTTCAAGAACCCGGATCAAATCTCCCCGCCTCCAGTAACAGCCCCTCATCACCATCACAAGACTGGTCCTGGCTTTCTCAACGTTCCTACAGCATGTGCCATTTACTTAGGGATTACCTTCACTACCTAGTCCAGGAGAGCCCTGGCTGGGGCCATACTGCACACTTCACAGAAGAGAGTATCTTCCTTAAGTTTTGTCACACGACATGCACTCCCAAACACCTGACATCTAACCCCACTGCCACAAGCACAATATCCCTAAACTATGTAAAGTGTTCCCTAAACCTGACATCTATAATTATTTTACCAAAACACTACATAAATTTGCTCTGATATGCTCATTTGTCATCATATTTGCACATGTATGTGTTCTATATAACGCAAGTAGAAATTTAAATTCTGTAATAAAAACTGCTATATGTTACATTTAAAATAAGGTACACATAGACCTTCAAAGCACAAAAACTGTTATAATTGATCAAGATAAAAATACTTCGGTGTTTGTTGAAAGAGTAGAATTTAGAAATGTAAATTTAGGGGGCGCCTGGGTGGCGCAGTCGGTTGAGCGTCCGACTTCAGCCAGGTCACGATCTCGCGGTCCGTGAGTTCGAGCCCCGCGTCAGGCTCGATGGCTCAGAGCCTGGAGCCTGTTTCCGATTCTGTGTCTCCCTCTCTCTCTGCCCCTCCCCCGTTCATGCTCTGTCTCTCTCTGTCCCAAAAATAAATAAATGTTGAAAAAAAAAATTAAAAAAAAAAAAGAAATGTAAATTTAGAAATTCAGAGGCCGCTGTGCTACCAGCACATGGGAGCATAAAACAGGACACAATGCTAGGTGGATGTGTGGCTCACAGAGCAAATACTTGACTAGGCACTCCCCACAAATAACTATCTGAATACTAACATTGTGTGATCCTGTTAAAAATGGCAATGTGCAGGGGCACCTGGGTGGCTCGGTTGGTTGTCTGACTTCAGCTCAGGTCATGATCTCACGGCTCGTGAGTTCGAGTCCTGCCTCGGGCTCTGTGCTGACAGCTCAGAGACTAGAGCCTCCTTCAGATTCTGTGTCTCCTTCTCTCTCTGCCCCTCCCTCTCTCTCTCCCGACCTCTCCCTCTCTCTCAAAAATAAATAAACATTAAAAAAAATTTAAGAACGGCAATATGCACAACAGGAAATGAGAAGAAGCACACAACTCCTACAGCAGGCTTTAACACAGACCTACTGGTTAATCTCAAAAAGCCCTTTCCTCCTCTCCCTTCAAAATGACTCAGACAGGAGTCAATTACTGCTTTCTAGGAGCTTTCTCAGGCTTTCCAGTCACATATATACATTGTTCTGAACCACCAAGTAAGCAGCTTCCTCCAAATCTTTCCAAGTCACTTTGCAAACATCTATGCCAAAGGTTCTAGGTACCACTGGTTTCAGTCTTTCCTCCTCCTAGGACTGGAGAGAAAAAAGTCTGCTCTGCTATGAAATGTGGGAGTCTTACCTCTGAAGGTATATAATTGCCAAGTAGCTCTCATGTAAGACAGAACCGATTATTTACCAGAGTGAGAATCCTTTATACGACAGCATGAAACGGGAGGACTATTCAAGTCTTTCTGGTGTCCTGTTTTCATGCTTGATAAGACCTGGTCTAATTCACTGTCTTTCCAAACTATTTTTAATGGCAACGTTAGGAAGAAATATTCTACACCAAAACCTACTACACACAGCTGTTTCTATATGCGTAACAAATATTCTGCTTATGACCCACTAAACTGATTTTATGATCAGTTAATGAGTCACAACGGACGGTTTAAAAAAACGTTTCTAACACCTAAGCTAACATATATGTATACTTTTGAATTAAAAGGGCTCTGCCTTTGATGCTACATTTGAAATGCTACAGCTTGCACTGAGGATTTGTCTTTAGCTGCACAAAATAGAAAACTAACAAGAAATTTAACCATTTAAAAGTAGGAAAACGAAATATTTACAAATGTAACATTTTTAAAACTCAGTGTTTTCTACAAGACACAGTTCTAAAAACATACTTTGGTCCTCCACATTCGACTGCAGAAGCTTTCACAAATCGAATAGGTTGTAATCCCACCGGTTCAATGCTTAGAGTATTGTTTTCCACAGCCTCCAGAACGGCTGAAGCCAACTTTAAAAAAAAAAAAAACAGAAAGTATCAGAAGCTATGCTGACATAAAAATATTAAAATTGTATTCTATAATAAACTAATCTTCAAAATTATTCTTTCCCCAAGCTCTACTGTAAGCTTAGTCTTAGCCAATGAAAAAGAAAGAAACTATACAATCTTGGTTTGAGTATTTTTACAACTCAAATATTATCATGAAAGGCAGGCAATTCAGTTATAGCTAAGTAACTTACCTCGTTATCTGGAAGAGAACTGAAGGCATTAATTCCAATCTCTGTCCATCTCTTACCCACAATTAGCATCCACTATTAACACCACTTCAAGATGAATACCCTAATGCCTCATTTTGCTAAATTTATGCATATTTTTGAATACTAGTCATTCATAACACAGCAATATATACTAATTACAGCTATGTATTTTCTGAACTTGTACTTATGTGCACAAAAGAACTAGCTGAATTATCAAATATTAAATGCCCAGATGGAGATGGTAGCAACTGATCAACAACAGCTGAAACCAGCACGTTGCTTCAGTCTGGCAAGATTACTAATACGGAATATGGCCTACCTAGAAACAGACACAGAGACACAGTGAGTAACATATCTACATATCAAAAGTGTTTTACTGTTCATTTTAACTTCTCCTGACAAGTAAGGTTATAATTAAATCCTCTGAAGACTTAACATAAGACTCTTAGGATTACATTTCTTAGACACTGATTGACAGGATATTTATAGACAAACCTTCCATATGTACAAATTAAAACTGTGACCTGACATTGGTATAGTACCCTACATTTTAAAAAAAGTTTTTGTATGTACTTAATTTGCTTCATTTTAACCTCTTAACAACCCTGTGACATAGGCAAGGAAGGCATTTTTTTTCCATTTTAAAGATGAAGAAACTATGATTTTTTTTTTTTATCATGTATACATAAACCTAATAAACACCTCAGAGTATAGAGAACTTCCCTTACCCTGAGTGTTGGGCTAAGTAAGAATCAAGAACTAAGCCCTACCCCCAGTGCACATTTAATACTTCACTCCAGTGTAACTAACACTTCACTCTATGAATGATCCTCTGCTCAAATAAGCAAAGATGTTCAGTAACTGAATGCCAGGAAATTATCATGATCTTAACACGGAATAAAGAAAATGGTAAATCACAACATGTTAGAATAACTTATTTACATAATAGAAAACATACAGCATGATTTAGCAAAAGATACAGGAACCACTCTAATGCATTCCTATTAAAATAAAAAAAAAATTACCTCACTTTTTGAGAATGTTAAACATGGAAAGATATCTTCCTGATAAATTTTGTCTAAGAAAGGACACGATCTATCCATTGTGGGATCATCCTTCCAAGATCTGAATTCATTATACAGAGATAAGTCAGCCTGACAAACCAAAAAAAAAAAACACAAAAAAACAAAAAAACATAAAATAATCTTTTTAAAGGTACAAAACATAAAATCACTTTATAAAACTAAAACCTAATTTAAACATTACTGAAAAAGAAATCCTACTCATTTAAAATAATGAACTGAACCATTCTTGATTAGTTATAATACATGGTACCAACTTTCTTTAAAAAATTCAAGCTCTCAAATCCAAATGAGCCCTTTTCAACGGACCCACTATGGTGTCCAATGATGCTACCATTATCTCCACCCCACCCCTCAAAAGTGCTGGAGTTCCTAAGACACATGTGCACACTGCTCTGAATATAAAACAAATGAGAAGTCTTTTCTGAAAATAATCCAAAAGTAATCTGGAGAGAAGTTAATTAAATAAAGTGTTTGACTAAATGGAGACTAAGTTGTGAAACCTAGTTTGGGTCAAAGGGGACACTAACTGTTCTGCTATCACCTGAAGGCACTTTCAAAAGAATTTTGAAAATGTTTCTTGTATAAGCAGCAGGTCTAAAAGCAGCATATATATACCCTCCTAAATTGACTACCGTAAAACATAACATTTATTAAGGTGTCTTTTGCCACAGCAACATCAATGACTACTATCTGAATTATCAACAATAATCCAGGCTGGCACCTGCCTCCTGATTCACTCTTCAGTTGTCCTCCGTTCCCCCTCCTCTCTTTAATGAACTGTTCCCCAAGTATTCTTCCCTCCAGATGCCCTCTACTCAGCTCAATACCACCTGTCACATACAGAGCCACACCTGCCCCCGGCTGCCCACTCAAGGTAGTGCCCCTCACCCAGCTCTAAGCCACTCTCATCCAGAAGCACTGGACACACCACAAACGACACACTGACTACAGCTCTGGCCTCTAGGACAGCTTAATCACATGTGCAGGTGGTTTCCATGGAAGTAATGAAAGGCTGAGTCTGAAATCCAAGCTTCCCCACAGACTTTCTTTTAAGGTATATAACAATACTTACATTTCCAAATTCATTTTCTTTGTAAAGTCTACCCTTTAATGGACATAAACCCCAAAGCAGGTTAAGTGGTATTCTAAGGAAAGATTCTAGTTTCAAGGCAGTAACTTAAACTATTAAGAGCTGACCCTGTGCGAGGAACTACGGTAAGCACTTCCTAAACACTTAATCGTCACAGCTGTGCAAGACAGACATTCTGCTCTTCACTGTTTTAGAGAAGGAAACTAGGGCTTAGAGAAAAAAGTAACTTGCCTAAGGTTACAGATCAAAAAACCAGTACAAGTTCAGATTCGTGTCTAAGTGACTTGACCGCAAAGTCTTGCATAATGTGTGTGCATACACGCACGCACATGTGCTTTAAGTGCTTTTAGGAGATATGCTGCAAATATCGTGACTGTCACTTTTTTTTACAGAAACGTGGGCATGTTTCACTTTCTCTCCAACTGTTTTACCTTCTTCTAAGGCTTACACAGGTCAACTCTGTGTGTTTCCTTTGTCCAATAAAACTTTTTGAGGGGCGCCTGAGTGGCTCAGTCAGTTAAGCGTCTTGATTTCGGCTCAGGTCATGATTTCGCCTTTAGTGAGTTAGTAAGTTCGAGCCCTACGTTAGCTCCAAGCCCACTTGGGATTCTCTGTTTCCCTCTCTCTCTGCCCCTCCCCTACTCATGTGCTCTCATTTGTTCACTCTCTCTTAAAAATAAATAAGTAAACATTAAAAAAAAAAAAACCTTTTTGATGTTTTCACAAAACATTAGAATACCGAATATATCTACAAAGCAAAAAGTTGTATGTTACCTATTCACATTTTAAGAGTTCATAAACTAAGAACTTTAAAACGTTCCATGAGAAAACACTTAAATTTCGTTAGTGTAAACAATGGAAAACAAGGTATATAATCACACACACTGAGAAACTGCAGCAAAAATGCAAGTTGTACCAAGCAATTAAAAATGTTAATTAAATTCAAAGAAATTAAGGTTATAACTTAAAAAAGTTTCTTAAGTATTTCATGAACATGGATTTTAGATTCTGTCACATTCAGATCTGGCCACATATTGAACTTCTCTCTCACTAGCATCCTTTTTATTAATAAGTAAACAAATGCAATTCAATTAAAGTAACAACCCTGGTTATTCAATTTAATAAACTCCTGGCTTCCATGCAAAAACTTAACCAAATGAGCAAATACAACTTCTTAAAGATTAATGATGAACCTGAATAAAACAATGTAAAACAGAGCTCTAAAAAAGTGGGGGGAGGGACGGCTTAGTTCTATTTTTTGTTGCTTAATTATCTGAATTAACTCTAAGACTCAGTGAAAGAATACAAAATTCTACCTCTCCTAGAATTTAAGTAAAAACAATGTTCTGTTCAAGAAAATCACCTTATTTTCAAACATTTCTTACATTCATATTTTGTTAGAGCATCCTACCAACAAATTCTGACCAGCCAGATCATTAAAGCCACCCACTCTGCTTTACATAAGACAAGACAGTTTGCTCCCTAAATGAAATAGCAAGAGGAAGAAACTTACCAAGTTTCTAGCAGGTACTCCAAGGTCAGCCAAGTAGAGAATGGAACTGGAGATTCCCTGAAAGCAGCCAGCTCTAGATAAAGCCTCCCCCATCTTAATATTGCATATTTTGTACTAAAAGTTTTGCTGGCAAAAATCATAACTGACACGTCAGTGATGAGAATTACTAAGTATCAATAGAGTCAGAGGGGACAGTCCTTGACGCGTTACCTCTTTGCAGTCTTTTACAATTGGCTGTATCACACTGAGGTCCTGATGACTGCCGCTCATAGCGCTGCTTGTACTTTTATTTCTTGTATGCCCCCTTTTAAAAGGTGTCTTTCCACCTGGCAGAGGCTCTTGTGTGGGTGATGTTGGAGAACTGGACAATACGAGTGTCTTCAATGCAGCTACTTCAGCTTGAAGTACATCAATCTTGAAAAGAAATCAACATAGTCCCATACACTAAGTTTTATGACAGATTCAGCTAAATGTCAGCAATTTGATCAAAACACTTTCCTTTCAAAGATGAATATAAGTTTAATTGGTATTTGTTGTGGACTAATAAAGTAAAACCAAGTTTTTTAATGTTTCTTACAGTTTAGATTCAGCTGCTATTCACAATGTTAAAGGAAATTTTTCAGATTATCAAAATGTCTAACACAAACTTCATGTGAATTTTGAAAATCTCCAAATAGAATAGTTTATGATTAGTTGTGGTTCATTCCTAAAACAATAAAATAACAGTTTGGTGGGGTTTTTTTTCAGTGAATTAAGAAAAATATTAACTTTAAAATGTGATTGTCTAGTCCTTTTGAGAATACATGTGATTCACAAGACTTTAAATCCTTTGGTTCTAATATCAGTGAACCCCAACTGTTCACTATTAACTCTATCTGTGTAGTGGTTATTCCCTATTTTATAGTTTCCTGCAGTTTCCAAATCTTCTAAAATAAACACTAGTTTACAATAGGAACAAAAGCCAATCGATGTTAAAGTATCCTTAAAACAGTAATCACTGATTTCTTTGTACTTTTTTACTATGAAAGCAGCAAAAACTTACTTTTCCTTGTGCTTCCTTTAGCTGCTTTTCTGCTGTTGCCTGCTTAACATTTGCTTCTCTCACCATCTTATGAGCTTCCTGAAAAAGGTGAAATCTCAAATTTCGGAAACGTATTGAGCATTTGTTTTCAAAAATCTCTCAAAAAGTATCTACAACAGTAGCAAAAATGTACTACCAACTTTTAACCTGCAAATGAAGTATTCCATGTCAACTCCTGAAATAACAACAGTCGTCTGACAGACAAACTAGTAGGAGTTAGGAATAGGTACCTTCTTTTAGTACCAGTATCACTGAGGTAGCCAAGTTCAATCCTCCTGGTGAATGCTTGTGTAAAAAGACTGTGTGAAAGAATAAACATCCCACATGTCAAACCCAAATTCTCAGTGGTTAGGTTTCTGTAACTTGGGTCACAATATGCATACTCATATTATTAGTCATAGCAAAGATATACTGAAGGGACAGGTAAAAATATTAATACATCAATAATGCTGCAGTTTGTAGGAATGACAGCTGAAAAGCCTTAGGGCTTCCAATGAAAACATTCACAAAATGCTTTAAGTGACAATTCTGTGTAGAGTTAATCTAAAAGGACAAATCAGAGATTAGCCTTTAGTTAAGGTCTTAATTTTTTGTACAATAACTATGAAACTCTGGGTATTTAATTCCTTTTTCTTTTCTTATATTTATTCATCAAACATTTACTCATGACACCTTTTTGTGAGCTTTATTCCAGGTGCTAATAACCTACTGGGAAAAGAGATGGGTCCTGTCTCTTAAAGAGCTTACATTCAGTTTACATTGTAATAATCAAATAAAATGTCCAAGGAAGAATTCTGGCTCTTATTCTAAGTGCAATAGGAAGCCTTATGATCTTTTAAGGAAGACAGTCACTGATCTTTATTTTTAAAAAATTATTCTGCTGTATGGAATAATCCCATTAAGGATTAAGGACGGACTGGAACAGTACATAGGGTGCTTGAGATAATCCCTTGGGATTTAAGAACACATATGTTAGAACTACATTTTGCAGTTTATGAGAAGGATGAAAAGGAGAGAGAGAAAGAGGGAGGAAGGAAGGAAAGGAGAAAGGAAGCAAGGAAGGAAATCGGCTTCAAAGACATTTAATACATGTTTGACAATGGCATCCTTACTAAGTCTGTCAACTTTTCAGTGGAAGAGTAGACATTCTCCACATCAGAGTTGACAGCAGCATGCCCATTTGTTCATTTGCTTTTCCAGTGCTGTAGTGAACTGCAGTTTGTTTACATGCCCATAATATGAATTTACAGGTCACATTAGCTTAAATAAGAGATGCTTTACTATCAATGCTTTATAATGAAATGAGATTAACTGAAAATCTTCCAAGCACAATTAACGCTGGTTATCTTGTAACGAAGTCCTTAAGAGCTGCCAATTTAATAATGAGGTATGCATTTTTCTTTTAAAAATAATAAACGTTCCAGATTTGCTGAATTCTTCTGACAAGTGGCTGTCAACAGATATCTATTTGGAAGATATTTTCAAAATAATAAACATATCTCATCTGACCCTTCAGGATAAGTGACATTTTAACTACAAATGCAAAAGTAACTCATGTGAAGGAGAGATTATCTGTTTAAATGTTTGGAAATGCACTCTGCCTTCCTTAACAGCAGACTATGCAATTTGGACCAAACTTCACATGGAGAATAAACAGAAAAGCTGGACAAGGACAAAATTTTTTTAAATGTGTCTGAAGGCATCAGAGAACCAACAAAAGTAAAGAACTAGGGGACCAAGATCCAGGAGAAGATGTAAACCCAAAGAGAGCTGGAATTTGGGGTGCCTTTTCCCTTAGTGATATGAGGGATACAATAAAAGAGCGTCCCTGGGGTCCCAAATGGAAAGGTAAGAGAGCTAGAAGGAGGCAGAAGCAACAGCTAAAAAGATAACGTATAGGGTTTTGCAAGGTGACAGAAGACATCAAAAAGTAGCTTCAAAACAAGTTGGAAAATTTTCTATCACTCTGCCATTCTGAAAGCTGAAAAAAATGCAAGTATCAGGTACACCAGGAGTCAGCAAACTTTTTCTGTAAAGGGTCACACAGTAAGCAGTTTGGGCTGTATGAGCCATACGGTCTCTGCTGTAATACTCAACCCTGCTACTGCAGTGTGAAAGTAGCCACAGACAACACATGGACAGTGAACATGGCCGTTTCAATAAACATTTATCAGCACTGAAATCTGAATTTCAGGTTTAATGTCACAAAATACTCTCTTGATTCTTTTCCCTAACCACTCAAAAGTGTAAAAACCAATCTTGGCTCATAAGGCTGCACAAAAGTAAAGACAGGCTGTAGTTTGCAGACCTGATATAAACATTCATGTCTATACACTTCCAGAATTTGAAAACAGAATTTTTTTCCTATCTGGTTAGCAGTGATTCAAATGAAGGTGTTTTTACTCTTTCTTTCAAATAACGTTTAAACTCAACATTTGCTGATTAATTCACAAAGACATCGTTGGTATTAGAGAATACAAATTCACTAGAGAATATTCTAGAAAAAAGTTTCACATAACCAGGAATGGAACTGAAAATTCAGTATAATGATTTAATATAGAGAAAGATGTATTTCTTCCATTTGGATCCATGTATTTGTGAGTTATTAGCTGCATTACATTTAATTTAAAATATGGAATTTAGACCAGAACTTCATCTGAATCATAAATTGATAAGATTAAAATTCTCTAGAAAAAGGTAACATATGCAAGTGTACTACTTTCACTAAAAAAATATATACATATGCACAACATATTTTAGTGAGACTAAAACATTTCTGTATTATAAAAAATAAGTATTTACGATTGAGTTGCTTTATAAACTGGTGTTTTATAATTTATATAACAATTTATATATATTAGTCTATACATGTAATTTATAAGTAAGTATATATGCTTTTAAAACAGTGCCTGTCACATAGGTAATTCTCAATATTACATATCTTCATCATAATAAAGGTACATGCTCAAATTGTTCTTTTATAGATTGAGTACATGATCAAAAAATGTGGCATCTACTGGGCTAGGTAATAAATACTAATGGCTTGTAAAATACGGACAGTCTGAATGTGAGAAAAAGGAGAGTCCTCAATGATGACTCCTTTTCTGTGGCTTCAGACGAACAGAAGTCCCATTTATGATTTCCATAGTACTTAAAGTAAGGGTTGGGGTTATGAATTTGAATCCCAACATTGCTCCTTAACCTCTTATGCCTCATTTTCCTCACAGATAAAATGACAATAATTTTCATTATATGCCTCACGGCATTACAGAGAGAAAACTAGGCATATTACAGACATTTACTAAAAGTGGTTGACAAAATGTTAAAAAAAAAAAAAAAAAGAAAAGAAAAATCTTAAGGCTACCTCTCTTTTTTTCTTTGTAAAGCATTATTTCAACTGATTTCATTCTATATTATCTCAAAATCTGAGATACTAGGTGGGAATACATCTATATAACTTTAGAGTTCTTATTTTTGATAGTTTTTTTAAGACACAACTTTGCTACAAAGTATATTATATTCAAGATGATTCATACACGACAAACTCCTAATTTGAAGTTACATGTTAAGTTTGCCAAAGTTGTACAAATTGTTTATTCAAAATAATATTTAACTCTTAAAAAACTATATGTACACATACCTAAAATGCAAGCAAAAAGCTTTTTCATAATACAATGGTAAACTGAGATCATGAAGGCATAATTAAAAAGACCACAGAAAAATGTTTAGCACCTTTTCACAAAATTCATAAATAACTGGTTTGAAGACAATTCTCTTCATTACTGAAATCATCTTTAATTAATGTAACTTCTTTCCCAGAAAGAATACATAGTATCAAGGTTATTAGCCATTGTCGGGTCAGGGATAGATCAGGGACCCAAAACCTTTTTTTGGTATACTTTTTCATTCATTGAAAAACCAGCATTTCTGTTCCTTCACATCCCACTATGGAGAGGGAGAAGTTTCTCCTGTTTGTTCTCCTCCTACTTCATCTAATAGAATATACATACAAGTGCAAACAAGAGGAACTAAGCAAGGCTAAAATTATGGGCAGGCACGTGAGAAACTTAACACATTTGCTTTCTTATCTAGTACCTATACATCATTATGAAATTTTTCTGGCCAGACAATACTGGATGAAAAAGTCTAAGCTTTCAGCATACCCCTTCTGCAAACAAAAATGTGACAAGTCCTATAGCTCTTGTCTTCTAGAGCTTTAATTCCCCACTCTTCCCATCCTTACATTTATCTTCCTCTCATCTCTGAGGACTAGCTAACAAAAAATAATAATAGATCAGCTTTCCAATGTTCATGAAAGAAAATGATCCCAAAAAAGACAGAGGAGGGGCCAAAGGTGTGTGGCACAGAAAAGTCCACATCTGAAGAAACCCCCATTTAACTTGTTATGATGTTACTTATAACACTAAAAATGGTGGAGTATGCAAGTTGATAGATTAGGACTATCACTGCAATGACCATGTAAGTTAACATAAAAACATGTTATTTGAAGAAAAAATACAAAATATATTAGGATTACAATTATGTAAGAAAATATGCATACCTCTAAAACTGAAAAAATGTTGCATAAATAAAAACAAAAACGGAAGAAATTTTTCTAAAATCTTTTACTACAAAGTTTTAAAAACAAATTTTTTTTTGGAAAAAAAAAGAAATTATTGATGTGATAATGACAGTAGTCATTCCAGTAACACATCAACCTTTCTGAATAAGGAACTTTTATCTTAGGGCCAACACTAAGTACGATGGTTAATTTTATGCATCATCTTGACTAGGCCACTAGATGCCCAGATATTTGGTCAAACATTATTCTGGGTGTTTCTGTGAAAGTGTTTCTGAGATTAACATCTGAATTGGTATGTGAAATAAGGCAGGCTGTTCTCCATACTGTGGTTGGGCTTCATCCAATCAGTTGAAGGACTGAACAGAACAAAAAGGCTGATCCCCACGGAGTACAAGAAAAGTCTTCCTGCCTTCAAAATCCAAGTGAAACATCAGCTCTTGTTGCATCTCAAGCCTGTCAGCCTTAGGACTAGAACTGCGCCATCAGTTCTCAGGTTTCTCAGACCTGTGTACCTGGACTGTAACTACACCATGAGCTCTCCTGGGTCTTCAGCCTGTTAACTCACTCTGCAGGTTTTGGGAACAGCCAGCTTCCATAATCACGGGTGCTGATTTCTTATATCGATCTCTTTCTATATACACATCTTATTGGTTTCTGTGTCTCTGGAGAACCCTGACTAATATGCCAAAAAATGCAAAATGACAATGTCAGTGGAACCCTTAATGAGAAACACTGCTAGAACTGGGCAGAAATTTTGGTCCTGTTGGCAGGAGGGAGATAAGTGTGGGAATGTGCGAGTGGCTCAGTCGGTTAAGCATCCAACTCCTGATCTCAGGTCAGGTCATGATCTTGTGAACCGTGAGATCGAGCCCCATGTCAGGCTCTGTGCTGATAGCACAGCTTGGGATCCTTCCCCCCTCATCACCGCCCCAATCGCTCTCTCAAAAATAAATAAACTTAAAAAAAAGAAAGAAAGAAAGAAAGAAAGGTAGGTGAAGTGTGCCGTCTAACAAGTAGGTGTGCTTTCTAACAATCCTCAAACCATCACCTATCAGATAGCCACCTCAAGGGTTTCCCATCTTTGTTCTGGAGTCACATTGTAAGATTATCTTAAAGTAGCCCCTAAATACTTGATAAAAACAGAATTAAAATTTACAACCTTTCTTCCCACATGGGCATTTTTAAACAACCTGATTGATACTGGTAGCTTACGGTATCTTTTCCTTTTCCCATCATTTTAAATTGTAGACTCCATCTTAAAGATTTCATTTTTCTTAGATGACTTAGAAACTATGTAAAGTTAAGCATTACTTTTCTAAGATTCCCTCAAAGAACAATTCTATGAATATAAAACATAAATAGACCAACCTCAAACAGACTGGCTGTGAGCTCCTCCAGTTCCTGTCCGAGTTGATCTCGCACTTTAGAAAGCCTCTCACACTCTTCATCTTTTAACTTCAGTTCCTATGAGAAATTGATCATTTTACTTTGAATCTCCATAGTTTGAAGTTAGATTCAGCAGACTACATAATCTTTACTAATAAAATTACAAAATATTAATACTGTCCCCTCCTAAGGTTCACACTGAAAATGTTGATCTAGCACTTGCTGTGTGGAAGACAATGAGGCAAGTCTAAAATTACAAATATTTCCAACTTACATATTTAAATTTTAATGTTTCCGTCATGAGACATACAAAGATTAAGATTATATATTATATGTGAAATACACAATTCAATAACTTCACTCTTTTTTCCCTTAACTGTTCTCTGAAGATATTTATTTCCATCCAGGAGGGAATTTCTTTAATTACGCTTATCCATCTCAGTAAAAGTTCAGTGTGGTTTTTTCAAGTTTATTTTAAAATTTGTTCACTTATAGATAACTATGTACCATATGGCAATTAGTCTAAAATTTCCATTAGTAGACTATACCCATTTAGCCCTGCAACCAGAAGTGAATGAAACATATTTGCATTTAAAACTAAGAAAAATGTTAACGACAAAATCACTTCCTAATATTTATACATGAGTTCTCAAAAGGTATCAAATAGATGTTTAAAAAATCCCTTATTAAGATGTAAATAATATGCAATTTTATATGCTGTCCTAAATTAATCTTTCAAATTTAGGGCTAAAAAACATCCCACCTTCCTATATATTGGTCACAATTACACTAATGAAATAATGGATTTGTTGTGTTGTAATTGTGGTGGCAGCATAGAATCCCCCAAGGGCAACTCCTGAAAATCAAATATACCAACTGGAAGGTCAGAAGAACCCAATGAGTACACCTTCAACAAAACTACGGAAGGAAATCCCCACAAATCTTAGACTGTGAGAGAACGTGGCTACACTACCAACACCAAAGAATCAGCAGCTATGTGGAAGGGACAGCAGGAAGTGGAAGTGACTACAGAGGTATCGTATGAAGCCTCAGAACCCAAAAATCATTACAAATACCCCAAAGGAGAGGACTCAGCCTCTCTGAAAACTGGGAGAACAAGTATGAGAACAAAGGGAGAAAAAGGAAAAGGTTTTCACAGGCTCCAAGTTGCAGGTGGAATGCAAAAATGTGTATGTAGTCCTGACACAGCAAACAGTGCTGTAATGCCCTAAACTCTGAGGAATCACACAGCATCCAGCAAAGAGACCCTTCTAGTACAAAGCCCACCCCAAGGGAAAAACGCTTGGAATCTGAAACCAAACTGCAGGACAGGAATAATGGACATAGAGAGAAAGAAGGCTAAGATATCAAAGGAGAAAGAGGGTGGCAAGGTTCCAAAGGAAACAGATCGCAGAAAGTAGTGTAAGAAAAAATAATTATCTTTTCTTATATTTCTACTAGAAATACCATTTTTAGAGATAATGTTAAGCTTGTAAAGTTTGCAGAGGCACTGGGCTAGAGGAGAAAACCTTCCTGAACAAGGTTTACCTCTGAAAGACAGAAGTGGTTACACAGATACACCAATAACAACAGAAGGGAAAGCTCTTGAACACGAAACTCCTTGGTTTATCCTCCTCCTTCACAGGAACCTCCTCCTAACAGTCCAGGAAAATCCAATTCATTTAAATATGGAAAACAAACACAGATATGTGAAGTTACTGTTATAAAAAAAGTTAAACACAATCCAAGTCACCTGTAAGGTAATCAGATTGGGATTGAAATGCCAACAGCAGTTTATGCTAGAAAACACCAGAATAACATTTTTTTTAATATTTAATTTTATTTTTGAGAGACTGCAGGTGGGAGAGGGGCAGGAAGAGGGGAACAGAGGATCAGAAGCGGGCTCTGTGCTGACAGCAGAGAGCCAGATGTGAGGCTTGAACTCCCGAACCATGAGATCATGACCTGGGCCGAAGCTGGACGCTCAACTGACTGAGCCACCCAAGTACCCCCAGAATAACATTTTTAAGATAGTCAAGGGAAACACTGTGAAATGAGAATTTTATATTTAGCCAAAGTATAAAGTCAGAGACAAAGAGTCATAAACCTGCAAAACCTCAGAGAATCTCTCTCCTATGAGTGACTGAGTGACCAAGTAAAGAATGAGATTCAGATAATCCAGAAGAAGCCGGAGAAGCTTTAACGCTAAGGACTGAGGGTGAGAAGCAAACATATTTAACTGTAGAACTACAACTAAAAGATGACGATATCAAGAGAACGAAAAGACAAGCCTGGTAGAAAATTTCTGCAAAAGACATATCTGATAAGAGACTATTATCAAAAATATATAAATTCTTAAAACTCAACAGTAAGAAAACAAACAACCGGATTAAAAAATGGGCAAAATACCTGAAGAGACAATTCAACAAAGATATAAAGAAGGCAAATAAGCATATGAAAAGATATTCTGTATTACAGGTCATCAGGAAATGCAAATTAAAACAACAATGATACCATCACACACCTATCAAGAGTGGCCAAAATCCAGAACACTGACAATACCAAATGCTGGCAAGGACGGGAAGTAACAGGCTCTCCCATGCATTGGGAATTTAGCATGGCTCAGCTAGGTTAAAAGACAGTTTGGCTGCTTTTTATAAAATTAAACACACTCTTACCATATGATCCAGCAACTGCACTCCTTAGTATTTACCCAAAGGAGTTGGAAACAGGTTTACACAAAAACCTGTACACAGATGTTTATACATTCCTAACTGCCAAAACTTGGAAACAACCCAAATGTCCTTCAGTAGGTGAATGAATAAACTGTGGTACATTGAGATAATGGAATATTACTCAGCATTAAAAGGAAATGAGCTACCAAGCCATGAAAAGACATGGAGGAAAATAAATGCGTATTATTAAATAAAAGCATCTAATCTGAAAAGGCTACATACTCTGATTCCAACTATATGACATTCTGGAGAAGGTAAAACTATGGAGACCATAAAAATATCAATCGTTGCCAGAATTTGGGGGTAGGGAGGAATAAACAGGTTTAGAGGATTTTCAGGGCAGTGAAACTATTCTGGGTAATACTACAATGGTCAGTACATGTCATTATACACTTGTCAAAATCCATAGAATATAGAACACCAAGGGAACCCTAATATAAATTCTGGATTTGGGGGGATAGTGATATGCCAATATAAGGTCATTGATTATAATAAATATATCATCCTGGGGTGGGATTGGATAGTGCTGAGGGACCATGCAGGTGTATGGGAACTCTGTATTTCTCTCTCAATTTTAGGTGAACCTAAAACCGCTCTAAAAAAATTAAGTCTATTTTTTAAAAAGGGATAGAGCTGACAAAACAGCTACTTAAATGTTATGAGCTTTAGGAATATAAAAATAACAAACATTAAGGCACCTGGGTGGCTCAGTCAGTTGAGCATCTGACTTCAGATCTCGCAGTTTATGGGTTCGAGCCCGGCATCAGGCTCTGTGCTGATAGCTTAGAGCCTGAAGCCTGCTTCTGATTCTGTGGCTCCCTCTCTCTCTGCCCCTCCCCCGCTAGCACCCTGTCTCTCTTGTCTCTTAACATAAAAAATGTTAAAAACAATTTTTTTAAATAACACACATACATACACACAAATAAGAGAAAGATGAAATTAAAGTCATAAACTTCTCAAATATTCATGGGGAGCGAAGGTATACAACTTGAGACTCACAACTTAACTACTATAAACCTAAACATATCTAAGAGCAAGAGATTAAAACTGAGATAAAACTTTAAAATTCAATGATATAAGAGAAATAAACAGGAGCTAGATAATTTCAGTATTGCTTATGGCAGGGAACAAAGGCAGTATCTCAAGAAAGGCTGGGAGATACATACATCTTTGATTAAAGGAAAGTAACAACTAGAACGGAAATCAAACCTTCCAAAACACCAAAAAGGAAGACACGAAGAAAACAGAGCACATAAGGGTCTGCATACACACCCAGGAGCCATCTCAAAACTATGTGACAGAAACCAGCCCAAACGTAACAAATTTATCAATAAAGGTGCATGGGCGTAACTCACCTAATTAAAAGAAAATGATTTTCAGGTTGGCTTAAAAAAAACAAAATCTATCTCTGTACTCTATACATAAGAGACACACCTAAAACAAAGTGATTCAGACAGATTAAAAAAAAGAATGGGTGAAGTATGCTTTAAAACGTAATACAAATAAAAATAAAATAGGAATCTGAATCTTGATATCAGACTAGACAGAATACAGGGCAAAAATCACTGATGACAAAACTTCAGAACGCTAAAGACCACAATGCAAAATGAAAACTTTAAAATACTGCCAAATACAAAAATACAGAAGTAGTCCTAAACAAACAGGAAGGACACACCATGTTTTTGAGTGGAAAGATACCATAAAGATGCCAATTCTGAGTTAATTTTTAAATCTGTAACTGCATAAATCTAATGCCAGATTCTTTCAAACTCTAAAATTTCACTATTTTACAATTTCCTATGAAAACTAAGCCAATTTATTCAACATTTCCTGCTATGTGGTCCCTATGGTAATCCCTCAGGATACAAAACCAGCTAAGATACTGCCCCTAGAGAAATTTCCAATCCACTAGAGCAATACACTGTCGTTCATGAAGGCAAAATTCTTGAATAGCTCTCTATCATTTACCAAAGTGGCACGGACCTCGCTGTAATACTAAAGGCCCTCTACAACATGTGCTCAATTTCCCTTTCGAGTTATCTCCCTTGATCCATACTCTAAAGCTAGAGTAAAACTGGCCTGATTCACTCGTTTCACTCCCCATCCGAGCCCATCCATCTGGTTTAACCTTTTCCACGTAAATGTCTACTTTCTCTCTATGCCTCAATGTCTATTCTCAGTCTACCTATGTGAAGTTGAATTTGTAATTCGTGTGACTATTTCTCAGAATTTGTACTTTTCATTATCAGAATGTTACACCATAACATAATTATTCAAACTTCATTCCTTCAAGAAACATTAATTTTGTGTTGATTGAATGCTGATTCTTCTGTTAGCTTCAGGCATTCATCTAGGTGCTGGGGACACTTAGAAAAGGAGTAACCCCCATTAATGATTTTCCTGTTCAGCGTAGCAAATCTTTAAACAGATTCACATGGCTATTCGATAAGGACTATAGTGATGCATACATACCAGAAAAAGTAGGAGTTTGCCAAATGCAGAGGAAGAAATAAACGAGTATGTTCTATAGTAGCTAAAGATGACGAGGGATAACCACCACAAAAAGATAATGCCAGCAACTTAGGTTTATGACCTGTCCTGAAAAGCACTGCCTTGGAAATCAGGATTTCCTTTAAAGACAAAGGGAAATTATCTCAAAGGCAAATGGGAAGTCACTGAAAGATTTTAAACAGGATAGCAACAATCAGATCTGCAATTCAAAGTGGTAACTTGGAAGTGTAGAGACGTTAAAAAAAGACTAGATACAAGAAAAACAGTTCACTGATCACTGGTATACTTTAGACAGCAGATACAAATTTAGAGTGGTAGTACTAAAGAAATTTGAGAGACACTCAAACCACAGAACATTAGGTCTCTGATCAAGTGTATTCCAAACTTAAGACTACTGTATTTAAGATAAACATTTAATACATCAAGAAAGAAAAAGTGCTGTCAATGAAACTATGTCTATTTTCCACTTAGACTTTTCATTTTACACTTATAGGAAAAACTCTTTTAAGCTGACAGAGACAGAGATTTTTATTCTTCTTTTAAATATTTTTCTGTTTCAATGCTATCATAATGAGGTCATTTTGAAGACATTTAAGCCAGTAATGAAGACCAACAAATAAACCCAACTCACAGAATTCAACTGAATTAATCACATGAACAACTACAACCAAGTTCACACACAAGTAGGCAATGATGAGTGTCATGAAGGTTAAAATCGGAAAAAAAAAATGTACAACTCCGTATCAGTAAACATGACCGTGTATACATGTCTTTTCTCCCCAACTAGTAAACACCTTAAAGACAGGGTCAAGTCTAATTTATTTTTGCCCCCTACAGGGCTTTGAACAATGCTGTTAATACTTTGGTTACTCAAGAAATATGTCTGTTTATAAAAGAACATAGTACATGTTTATGAACATCCATGGCCACAGTTAGTAGAACCATGCTGAATATGGATTTGATACAGGTACGTGTATTTGAGTGACTTTATCTGGCTGCAAGTCATTCCACTGAATTTTATTTTCCAAGTTATTTCACTCTCTTTTAAGGAAGAGTAATTAAAAGCTGAAAGTAACACATTATACCAGTGGGTCTCACACTTAGTAAATATAAGAAACAATGAGGGAGTTTATTAAAAATGCATATCCCCAAGCCTCAGCATGATAATATTATTTCAGCAGAATTTGGGACAGAGTCCAGGAAGCAACACTTTATTTATTTTTAATTTAAATCCAAGTTAGTTAACATATAGTGTAATAATTTCAGAAACAGAATTTAGTGATTCATCACTTACATAACCAGTGCTCAGCCCAACAAGTGTCCTCCTTAATGCCTCTCACCCTTCTAGATCTTCCCCCCACCCAATACCCTGCCAGCAATCCTGTTTGTTTTTTGTATTTAAGAGTCTCTTATGGTTTGTCTCTGTTTTTTTATCTTATTTGTGCTTCCCTTTCCCTATGTTCATCTGTTTCTTAAATTCCACATGAGTGAAATCATGTATTTGTCTTTCTCTTGTTTTGCTTAGCATAATACAGTATACTCTCACATTGTTGTAAATGGCAAAACTTCATTCTTTTTGATTGCCACATAGTATTCCCCCACCCACCCACCCACACACCTTCTTTATCCGTTCATCAGTCGATGGACACCTGGGCTCTTTCCATATTTTGGCTACTCTTGACAGTGCTGCTATAAATATTAGGGTGCATATGCACCCTACTACTAGGGTAATACCTAGTAGTGCAATTGCTGGGTTGCAGCATAGTTCTATTTTCAATTTTTTGAGGAACCTCCATACGGTTTTCTAGAGTGGCTCACCAGTTGGCATTCCCACCAGCAGTGCAAAAGACATCCTCTTTTTCCACATCCTTGCCAATATCTGTTGTTGCCTGAGTTGTCAAGTTTAGCCATTCTGACAGGTGTGAGGTGGTATCTCATTGTGGTTTTGATTTGTATTTCCCTGATGATGAGTGATGTTGAGCATTTTTTCATGTGTCGGCTGACCATCTAGATATCTTCTGTGGTAAACTGTCTATTCATGTCTTTTGCCCATTTCTTTACTGGATTATTTGTTTTTTAGGTGTTGATTTTGATAAGTTCTTTATAGATTTTGGACACTGGCCCTTTTTCTGATATGTTGTTTGCAAATATCTTCTCCCATTCTGTCAGTTGCCTTTTACCTTTCCTGATTATTCCTTTTGCAGAAGTTTCCTTTGCCAAAGCTTTTATCTTTATGAGGCCCCAGTAGTTCATTTTTGCTTTTGTTTCCCTTGCCTCCAGGGACGTGTTGAGTAAGAAGTTGCTGTGGCCAAGATCAAAGAGGTTTTTGCCTGCTTTCTCCTCTAGGATTTTGATGGCTTCCTGTCTTATGTTTAGGTCTTTCATCCATTTTAAGTTTATTTTTGTGTATGGTGTAAGAAAGTGGTCCAGGCTCATTCTTCTGCATGTTGCTGTCCAGTTTTCCCAGCACCACTTGCTGAAGAGACTGTCTTTATTCCATGTGATATTCTTTTCCTGCTTTGTCAAAGATTAGTTGCCCATACATTTGTGGGTCCATTTCTGGGTTCTCTATTCTGTTCCATTGATTTATGTGTCTGTTCTTATGCTGGTACCATACTGTCTTGATGATTACAGCTTTGTAATACAGCTTGAAGCCCGGAATTATGATGCCTTCAGCTTTGGTTTTCTTTTTCAGGATTGCTTTGGCTATTCAGGGTCTTTTCTGATACCATACAAATTTTAGGACTGTTTGTTCTAACTCCGTGAAGAATGCTGGTGTTATTTTGATAGGAATGGCAGTAAATATGTAGATTGCTTTGGTTAGTACCCAAGAAGCAACATTTTAAAAAGGTAAACCAAAGCCCAACTTCTACTTCAGAATTCCATCAAAACTGCTCTTCAGCAATGACCTACAGAAGGCCAAACAAGTGAACTACCATATCATTTCTGGCAACTCTGTACCTCAAAATCAATGATCACATTAGTATTCCCCCTACACATGGTATGGATTTGTTGCTGGGAAGTGGTTGCCCAGTAGGGACTACATTTCCTAGCCCACCACACATCTAAGGATCAGCATGAAACTGGAATGTGAGCAAAAGTTGTGTGTGTCACTTCTAAGTCAAGGCTCTTTAGAAGCCAGTGTGCCTTCTCCAAGATTTCTTTTCCCCTCATCTCACTGGTTAGATATAGATAATAAAATTCCAAAAGATTACAAACAGCCAAGACAGAAGAAAAAGGAGCCCTGAATTATTTCATAAAGATCTGCCTAACAACTATGCACATCTATTCCAGAATGTCAATAAATAAAAATTAACTTCAAGTTACTAAAATTTAGGGGTTGCTTGTAAGCAGCTAGCATGTCCCTACCTAACAAGTGTCTATTCATACAATGATGTAACTGCATACATATATATACATTCATTTAATCAACAAAACATATTGAAAACCAATTATGCGTTCAAAATATAATCATGAGCAAAAAACAATTATAGCACAAAGGCAGGAAAAGAAGAGACAGGCAGTACACTTTTGTAAGGTTCTTACATTATATGTGAGATAGTATAACGTCATTAGAAAATAAACAGGGATAAGTTAATTATGTATATTATAAACCCTAATGCAATCACCGAGTTAGCACAACAAAGATATATACCTAATAAGCCAAAGGAGACAAGATGAAATCAGCAAAAATATGGAATTAATCCAAAAGAAAGCATAAAAGAAGGAAAAAGAAGAAAAAGGAACATATGGAACAAACAGAAAACAAAAACAGTAATGATGGCATATATAAACAAAACCATATTAATATCACATTAAATGTAAATGGTCTAAACACACCAATTAAAAGGCAAAGATTAACAGAATGGATAAAAAAGCAAAATGATAGCTATATACCACCTGCAAAAAACTCACTTTATAGAAGAAGATAAAAATAGGTTCAAGGTAAAAGAATGGAAAAACAGTAACTCTCTGTAGTCTCTTAAAAGAATAATCAGAATAAAGAGAATGGTCGTTGACATAATTTTAATTCACAGGCTGATACAATCAAGAAATATTTTCATATTCAAGACATTTTCAAGACTTAACCTCTAAGTGGGGCGCCTGGGTGGCGCAGTCGGTTAAGCGTCCGACTTCAGCCAGGTCACGATCTCAGGGTCCGTGAGTTCGAGCCCCGCATCGGGCTCTGGGCTGATGGCTCGGAGCCTGGAGCCTGCTTCCAATTCTGTGTCTCCCTCTCTCTCTGCCCCTCCCCCATTCATGCTCTGTCTCTCTCTGTCCCAAAAATAAAATAAAAAACTTTGAAAAAAAAATTAAAAAAAAAAAAAAAAAGACTTAACCTCTAAGTATTAATATGATCTTGTACATTCATAATTCACCATATGTATACATTCACATGTCATTACTATTTCAATTACCTCAACAGGACCTCTAAATACAGCAAATAAAAGACTTTAAAAGAAATTCTCAACTTGAGCTAAGAAATTAGCAATCTGTTCTCATCAATAAGTAACCACAACATATTCTCAATGATAGATATATATGCTCAATAGTTCAGCTCTACATAAACTGTGATTGCACTTACTACTGTGTATTAAGACAACAGAGTCTGATCCAGATGGCTTCTGCCAAATACAATCACATATCCCTTCCCTTTGGAAAAAAGATAAAAAGGCTACTGATTTTTCTTTTCGATAAAATATATTTAACCAGAAATGTTTTAAAATATCTGTGTGGCTATTTTAGCTATCAGCCATTCACTGAAGCATTCATAAGGAAGCATAAATGTCAGGCATCGTACTGAATTCTGCTAAGCACTAGGGATACAAACAACAACTTACACTCTTAAGAGACAAATCTGGTAGCAAGAGAGAAGGAATATGTGTTTGTGAAATGTCATAACATGCTAAAAATTACACATTTAAAATATGCCCTATCTTCTCAAGTTTCTAAATGTGAATTGGCCCATTTGACCTAAGTTGTCAAATTATATAGGAAGTTGTTCATATTATTCCTTTATTGTATTTTTGATGTCGACAGAATCTGTAGTGATATCCCATTTCATTCCTGCTATTAATAATCTGTGTCTTTGTCAGTCTTATGAGAGGTTTGTCAATTTCATTATTTTTTAAAGAATCAGCACTTTATTTCATTCATTTTCTCTAGTTTTTGTTGTCAATTTCATTGATTTCTGCTCTTATCTTTATTATTTTCTCCCTTCTGCTTGCTCTGCTTTTGCTATTTTTTTGTAGGTTCTTTTTTTATAATTTTTAAAAATGTTTTTATTTATTTTTGAGAGAGAGAGAGCGCACACGAGTGGGGGAAGAGCAGGGAGAGAGGGAGAAAGAATTTGAAGCAGGCTCCAGGCTTTCAGCTGTCAACACAGAGCCCAACATGGGGCTCGAACTCACGAACCGTCAGATCATGACCTGAGCTGAAGTCGGACACTTAACCGACTGAGCCACCCAGGTGCCCCTTTTTTTCTAGGTTCTTAAAGTGAGAGCTTAAGATTGCTGATTTGAGACTTTTTCCTTTTTCTAATTATAAATATTTAGCACTATAAATTTCCCTCTGAAACTTAACTGCAGTCACAGAAAAAGAGCAGGACATAGCCACAAATCTGGGAATAAATAGCAGAAATTTTAAAGATGACCAAATGGGAAACATAACAAATTACCAAAAAAGGAAAATTCTCCAAGATACAGAAAATATTCAACCCAGCTGAATGGCAAAGGGAATTATTACTAAAACAATTCCCGCCCCCCCCCCCAAAAAAATGACTTGGACTAAATGACTTCAAGTGAAGGACCATAAAGTTAACCATATACAAGAAGGGGAAAACCCACACATGGAACATAACCCATCAAATCTGTGTTAATATTAATGTAAGACAGGGAGCAGGCAATGTAGTGGTTTCTACAGATGCTGCCCAACAGGAGCTGAGGCTACACATATGAGAAGGTAGGTATAAAATTACAATGATTTCATTTGAGTTGCCCCACTTCATGAGTAAACATTAATTTCAAATACAAAACATGGAAGAATAAAGCATCTTTTCTGCTTACCCTCTGAGCTTTTGCAAGTTCTTCTTTTAATCTTTCATAGCCCTTTTCTCTGACTTCCAAAACAGATGGGCTTCGTAAACGGGACAGACTATCAGTACTCAACCCAAATATATCGTCACTGCCATCACAAGCCTCTGGTATAGTAGCACCCTGTAAAAACTCCCTCTCTGCATTACAGTTGTCCTTTCTCGCAGTTAATTTAGTTAACCCAGCTGTGACTGCAGAGGTAGAACAAGGCGCTGGATCTGTAACATGGATGCTATAAAGGAGAGTTCAGGAAACATCAGCATATGCTCATACAAAACTAGCATAAACACAAAAAGTCTGTAATGGCACTAATATTTAATTAATAGCCTTAGCTTTAAAATTAAGGTAATTTATAAATTATTTATTAATTAAAAAATCAGTCAAAGCTAACACATTTCAAGTCTAATAGCCACATACGGCCAATGGCTAGCACATTTTCATCATCACAAAATTCTATCAGATAGTGCTACTCTAGAACTGGGGTCGGCAAATTAAATGTAGGCTAAATTCAGCCTGCTACCTGTTTTATAAGGCTCACGAACCAAGATTCATTTTTACATTCTCAAATGGTTGGGGGGAAAAATCAAAATAAAAATACTTTGTGACATGGGAAAATTATATAAAATTCAAAATTCAGTGTCCATACGTACAGTTTTATTGGAGTTTTTTCATTTATGTACTGTCTGTGGCTGCTTTCACATTTTAAAGGCAGAGCTCAATAGCTGCAACAGAGACTGTATGGCCAGCAAAGCCTAAAATATTTACCACCTGGCCCTTTACATAAAAAGATTGCTGACCCCTGCTCTTCAACATTAACATGTATTGCTCTCTTCATGGACATGCTTTTATTATTTAAATTTTCTAAACTATTAAAACTGAAAATAAGGCAAACAAGCAAGCTGTCATTTGTTTAACATGATACTCCAAAATAAGTATCTTAATGATCTCCTACCTGATACTAGATATTTCTGCACAATTTAAACGTCTGGGGGATGAATACACAGGTTGTGTAGGAAGGTCGGAAACATCTAAGGCATTAGCCTGAATGGGGGCAGAGCACAGAGCTGAAGGATGTGGCCGGTAGATGACACTTGGTGAGGTAGTCTGCTCTTGAGTTCCTGATTCATACACACCAAGAAGGTCTGGAGAAGTAGGTGAAGCAAGGTTTACTTCATGGAAGCCTTCCAAGGGGTCATTAGCCATAGCAAAAGCCTCATCATAAGATAACCTATGTTAAAACAAAAAGCGGAGTTATTTTGATAGTGGCATTTAAAATTATATTAACAAAATAAAACTAAATTAAAATTAAATATATAACTTGTAAAATGTTTTTTTAATGTTTATTTATTTTTGAGAGAGACAGAGCATGCATACAACCAGGGGGTAAAAAGAGAGACACAGTGAGAGAGGGACAGAGAGAAGGACCACACTGGCAGCACAGAGCCCAACACAGGGCTCAAACTCATAAACCATGAGATCATGACCTGAGCCAAAACCAAGAATCAGACGCTTAACTGACTGAGCCACCTAGGCGCCCCTTTATAAAATGTGTTTTTAACAACAGTCCATTATAAAGAATAAACTTCTAATAAAAATACAAAAAAAAAAAACACACACTATTATCACTTAACATTTATTAAGTGATCTCAGAGCATAAATATTACAAAATACAAACAATCTGATTTGGAATAAACTTGAAAGTTATAGCTAATGTTGTCAAGCTGAGTAATAAGTAACAATGAGGAATAAATAAAAATTTCTTTGATATTTTTAACTTTTCTATCACATGATATTGGTTAGAGTAAATAGAAGATGCAGTAAAGATATGTGTGTGTATGTATGTGTATGTATATAAAGATATATATACGTAAAGATATATATACATCTATATATATCTTTATATATATCTATATACATGTATGTATATCTATATACATATCTATATATATCTTTATATATATATACACATATATACATATATACTCACACTTAAAATGAGATATATACATTATACTATACAGTTGACCTTTGAACAACACTGTGGTTGGGGCACCAACTGCTGAAAATCCACATGTAACTTTTAACTCCACAAAATCTTAACTACTGTTAGCCTCCTCTTGACCAGAAACCGTAATGATAACATAAACAGTCAATTAACATATATTTTGTACTTATATGTATTATATATTGTGTTCTTACAATAAAGCTAGAGAAAAGAAAATATTAAAACCATAAGGAAAAAGAAAATACATTTATAGTACTGTATTGTGTTTATCCAAAAAAAAAAAAAAAAAACCCCACATAAAGTGAACCCGTCCAGTTCAAAGTCATGTTGGTCAAGGATCAACTGATAAATTCAAGTTCAGGTAAGAGCTGCAGAATTTTCATATACCTTTTACCCAGATTATGAAACTGTTAACACTTTGGAACCACTTGAGAATAGGTTTCAGACATGATGCCCATTACTGCTTAATATCTCAATATATGGGGGCGCCTGGGTGGCGCAGTCGGTTAAGCGTCCGACTTCAGCCAGGTCACGATCTCGCGGTCCGTGAGTTCGAGCCCCGCGTCAGGCTCTGGGCTGATGGCTCAGAGCCTGGAGCCTGTTTCCGATTCTGTGTCTCCCTCTCTCTCTGCCTCTCCTCCGTTCATGCTCTGTCTCTCTCTGTCCCAAAAATAAAAATAAATGTTGAAAAAAAAATGTAAAAAAAAAAAAAACTCAATATATGTATCTTAAATGCAAGGACATTTTCCTGTCTAACCACAAAACCATCAAAATCAGGAAATTAACACTGATTGATATTACAATCTATTCAACAGGCCCCAGTCAAATTTCACTGATTGACCCAATAATGGCTTTATTTATAGATCCAGGATCCAATCTAGGATAATGTGTTGCATTTCTCTAAGCCTTCAATTTCTCCTGGTGCGCCTGGGTGGCACAGCTGGTTAAGCATCAGAGGCTGATTTCTGCTCAGGTCATGATCTTGTGGTTTGTGGGATCAAGCCCCACGTCAAGCTCTGTGCTGACAACTCAGAGCCTGCTTGCGATTCTCTCTCTCCCTCACTCTCTGCACTTTCCCTGCTCTCCCTCTCTCTCAAAATAAATAAACATTTAAAAAAATTTAAATTTCTCCTCTGATAGGATGAGAATGAGAATGACAACATTGTCTCCATTCTCCAAGGTGCTGTAAGGATCAATGGGGACAATCCAAATAAAGTACTTAGTGGTGTACTATGTTCTTGGTACACAGTATGGCCTCAAAAAACATTTGTTACCATAACTGGCCATTAACAATAACATGCATACTTCTGCATCTACATAATCAAAAAATATTTCATATAACCACTCAATTACATCACAAAGTTTACATTAAAACTAAAAACTGTACCACTCAAATTTTTCACTTGAATGTGAAAGAACTCATAAATCCTTTATTAATTTTCCACTATCTACAGAATACAGTCCAAACCAAACAGCCTGAAAACCAAGTCTTCTATGATCTGAGCCCAACCTCTCTTCCCAATTTTTTCCTTCCTACAATAAAACTTTGATAATCGTGAGTGATACCCTACCAAAATTCTCAAACGCAAGCACCAATATAGTACCTAATTTCTTCATAAAATACAAAAAATTTCATTAAACTGAAAAATTATACTCTTTTATATCCTTTAAAAAATGTTTGAAAGAAGACAAGTAGAAAACAAAAAGGCCGCAGTAAAATTGGCAAAGAAGAGAGGTGACCTAATATAATCTCTCAAAAGTGCAATTACAGCATGTCACAAACCTTCAAAGATATATACGGACAATGAAAGCTATAGCTATTATATCTGCAACTGCCAAATTTCAAATCCAGTGTTTTCTCTGTTGTAGCAAATAATAATTTTAGTCTTCAAAATGAAACTAATTCTTGTTTTTTCACCCAAAATATTCACTACACCAAATGAAACGTCCTATTAACAAGGAATTTAAAGTGTTGAATACTTATTATTTTTCATCCAAAAGAATATTTTCATTCCTTATTCATAATACATACATATACCAAACAAACATTAACCCTGAAAATTTCATTTTCATTTGAATACAGTTTACTAATCACACTCACTTTTAAGCAGAAAACAGGTTTTCTCATTAACCTTTCGACATTTTCTCGGTAACCATTTGATACTTTCTTTCAACCATCCCATATACCTTTAATTCATGTCTTTACACCTTGGAAGTTCATGGAATCATAGAATGTGAAAGCATTTGCATTTCTGGAAATGCAACACGGTACAAACCCTATTGAGGAAAATTTGACAATATCTGGCAAAATGACATATTCATTAAACCTATGACCCAACATGCCTACTTTTAGGGCTTTATTCCAAAGATAAACTGGCAAAATAAAAAAGAACAGATAAATGCATAAGGCTAGCAACATTAGCAAAAGTCTTGTTACAGCAAAAGACTGAATGAGCTAATAATGTACATGCTCATAATGAAGCACTATGCAGCTGTAAAAAATAATATCTACATACTGCTATGAGGGGATTTTGAGGCTACAGTAACATTAAAAAACAAAATAAATAACTATGCACAGGAAGCTACCTATTACCTAAAAAAGGAGAAAATACAAATTAATTTCTATGTATATATAACATATAGATGTATTACTATGTATACATACTTATATTTTAAAAGTGGAAGGATAAACCAAAACCAAGTAGAAATAGTTATCTATAGGAAGAGGGAGATAATAGGAAGAGGAGATAGGCATGAAAACTAGACTTTTCCAAATGGATTTTGCCTTGTATTTGAATTTGACCTTGGAACCACATAAACAAAAAACCAAGATTAAATTTTAAAAAAGAATCTCTAAAAATAAAACAAATGATTCAGGCTATGTACTGAGATGGTAGCTTACCAACATAGAAAAGAGCTACTGCAAATGATTTTAAAACATTAAAACTATACAGAATATATTCTAAAGATAAAAAATGTGAAAAGAGTTATAAACTATTTTCAGTAATCGTATTAGTAATGTTGATATCCCTATTCTGAAACTATTTTATATAATATCAGGCAAATAAGTTATTATGCTAATGTCATTCAGAATTAAGATTTTCAGCACATGAGAAGAGCTATAAATATAAAATCAAAGAAGCAAACACTCTGAAGTTCTACATTTGAATCAGAAAAATCAGAAAAAAAATTTCTATTAAAACAAAAATTCCTAAATGTATCCACTGAGGTGAACAATAGTAACCACTCAGGAGCAATGAGTAATGCCCAGAGCAATACCATTTCCTACAAAAAAAGAACGAGGGCTCCTCAGAGGAATGGCTGATTTCCAGGCCAAGGGCAGTAACGTACAAAAAGACCCTGGAACATCCTGTTACACCGGGAAGCAAGAAGGCCATCAAAGACTACTGGAGTGGCATCAAAAGGATTCCCACTCACCAAAGATGAGACAACCTGAACATCAAAAAGATATTATCTGTAAGGAACGAAAACAAAAATATTTTTAAATTTATGAAACTCATGATCATAAATAAAAACAAAATCTCACTGATCCCCTTTGATTGGTGTTAGGGAGCCGATTCATTATTTTGAAAACTGGTAAAATAAAGAATCAGGTACTTACCCTGATTTTCTTGTACATCAGAGAACTAAACAGTTTATGAGAAAACGCTCTTTTTAAAAGAATTCCATTTAATAAATATGAATTTGCAATCCTAATAAAATGGGTCTAGGCATCAATAATGAATAGCTATTAAAGCCATAAGGTAAAAAGCTATGTGGGGAACTTTAGTTAGTGGATCAGAACAACAGGACCTGAACTCACTGATGACATCTTATCACAAAAAGAAATTAAGACATTATGGGATTATGTGGTGAAGTAAGAAATGGACAGCACCACCATCCATGAAGCATTCTTGTCACCCTCAAAAAAAGGGGGGGGGGATCCCAAACAAATCAAGCCTGTAGGTAGGTCTTCAGTGGTTTGTAGGAAATACAGAAAAGAAACAAACATGTTAAATAACACCACAGGGACAAAACAGCAAAATCTAGACTTTGGGAAACTCTACTAGGCAAACCACCTGGTTTTTTCAATAAAATAGAAAAAAAAAAAAAAAGGTAGAGGGAACTTACAAATTTAAAAAGAGAATAAACAGATATAACTAAATACAATGTGAGGATCTTGTTTGAATTTTTGAATAAAGCCAACTAGAAAACAAAATTAT